TTTTGAATTTGTTCCTTCTCTTATTGTTGCAGAAAAAATTGACTGTTGTCGAATAAATCAAATTGCCTCCTGTCCCAATATAACGTGCAAAGCATGCTTCAGGAAAATTTTCTTGTAAGTTTTGTTTTATATTTACTTTTTTTTTCTTTATTAATGTGACGGCGTAGTCTGTACGTCGTTTACCGCACAACTTGGGTGTATCTACACATACATCCGACTCGTTATTTTCACAGGTTGGTCTCCTTGACCGTGATCTAATTCACAAAGAATAACGACAAATGACTTTCAAGACTGGTTGGGAAATAGCAATAATAAGATATCTCACTAAACCACCAATCTTTCTCTTCGGCTTCGATGGTTAACTGCTATCTCCCTAATTGCTCACTGGTCCTTTCCTCACTGGCCGCTGAGTACTTACTCAACTCTGACTTCCCGCCTCTCTCTGCTTATATGGATACTTGCTGGGGTCCCACACCCTTATCTGCCCACTTGTGTTCCAGAAAAGTAGACCAACCAAAAAGCAGGAAGGATGGTGAGTTTCTTCACAGGGCACTACTTTTACGATTACCTAAAATCATTGACAAAATTTTATGTCTGCTACTTAAAAGGCGGGCTGAAGGCAGGAATCCTGAAAACTCTGGCAATTAAATTGACTCAAAGATGGACTGGAGACGAACTTCCTAAGAAAATCAAACAATTAAGTGGACTTAAGAGGAAAAGGAATTTATCTTCTAATGATGTCTGAGAAATCGTATTGTTACATTAACATTTCAATCACGAGCACTGTCATTGCCTGTGCGCTTCTAAAACCCGTTCTATTATCTATTAAATAGCTGGCAAATTAAGATATATATATATATATATATATATATCATCCATGAAGTTCAACTTGTTCAGAAACGTCTAAAGCTGAAATATCAGCTATATGCAGCCTATTTCTCAGATCAATAATTAAAAATGACTTGAAGCGAATGAAATCTATTGATCTTGAAGAGGACTGTACTTCGTATGATCTCATAGACTGGCGCTACAGAATCACAAACAAATTACCAAATAACAGAAATCACATTACTTGAGGATTTTCCTCTGCAGCAACAACTAAAATGGATATCACATATAAATAGAAGGGAAAACAATGATGTAATCAAGATGTTGACTTTTCACATGATCTTAAACAAGAGGTTACGCCCATAAACAGAAAATATGTAAAAACGCATTTTCCTGAAAAACTGTTCTAAGAGAAAAGATCTTTTAAATTTCCGTTTACAATAACTCCAACCAGTTGGTCAATGAAAGCCAAATGTTTCTTCTAAGGAAATGGCTGATCTCCCCTTTACAATTTACCATTCTGGGTTAAGCAGATCATTTCTTGGAGTAATGGCGCTGTTTAGCTACAATTAATAACCAAAAGTCTGCATAGAATTACAGTAACAGGAATTAATCTTTAATATAATCTCTCGAGATTTGTGAATTCCCACATTATGTTTCGTGAAATGATCATGACAATTCACAATTTATTTTAATAAATGGCGGGCAAATGGTTCTCTGCTGCTTTCACGTTATTTTTAGGGGTTACTCTTCTAGATTAGTTTCCTTAACAAGGCTACAGAAAATAGTCTATCCTACTGTTTTACTCATATCAGCAGGAAATTGTATTCATACCTTTCCCAAGGGCAATGTAAATGCGAACACTTAGGCAAGAATTTGAACTCGACTTGTCGATTCAATTTTCAAAGCTGGTAAAAATTATACAATTGACGCCTCAAGGATATTTAATAAAAAAAATCACAGATTGGATTTTTTATTTTTAATCCAATATTAATAAACGTATTATACACTTTAAATGAATAGCAGCCATATCAATTTTTCATGATAATAGTTGCTTCATTGTAATTTTTTATGAAAGTTCAAAATCCCGCTTTTTTTTTTACGACACTATCTGTATTCATTTTTAATAAATACTTAATAAGATCCGGAGTGGTAACACCTGTCAGGGTCCCAACTATTGGCAAATAGTTAACCCCCCCCCAAAGGAGGTCAAAACACTATGAAAGAATAAAAATAGGTTTTAATACCAGCAATACATTTTTGAAAAAACTATTACCAGTAATACACTTTAAAAAAAAATATTACCAGCAATAAAAATAATGTCGGCATTAAATAATCCATTGAGGTTGATATGCCGTAAAACAAACCGAACCAAAGGACATAAATGTAAAATGAATGTACGGTTCGAATTGTTTTTCAAAGATATCTCAGATTACTCCATTTCTAAAATGTTGAAAAATTAATATTATTTCGATTTTCTGATTTGCAGTGAACGTTGTCTACCCATTGAAGTTCCACCAAATGATCCTTATTTTTCGCAGTATCGAAGAAATTGCTTACCATTTACACGGGCTCTGCCAACTCCAAATCTCAAATGCAGTTGCGGTGAGTTCTGTTAGATTCTTTAACTGCGTTAGTTTAAAAGGTATCCAAAGAAAATTCGGAATTTTGAGCAAATTTTCCTTTTTTTTTTCTTTTTTTTTTTGACAAAAGGATTCTGCACAATGCCTCGTACTCCACTGATTATGAGTACAATTAGCATGCTCATATTCTACGATGTTGATTGGTCTTGACTGATGATTTGGCATCCATTGATATATATATATATATATATATATATATATATATATATATTAAAAATTGGATGAATTGTTCCCTCTCGCTTTACCTACTTACAAGGAGATTCATCACAAATCAAAAACAAAGCAAGAGACAATGCCCCTTTGCTTTCCTAGAAGCCAGGCTGGCAGTGACGTTAATTCAAATCACAAAAAGTAGCCGTTGTAAAAAAAAAAAACAATTTGATGATGACCAATGATCTGCTTAGCGGTTAAGAGTATAAAGGTATTGTGCTGGTAAAAAGAACCAGAATAGCCTACGACACCAGCCTTACTCACTTGAACGTTCACCTTCGGATTGCATGTTTTTTTTTTCGAACCCTACAATATTCCCTTAATGGGAATAACTTGAAACAAAATGACACACATTAAGTTGAATAAACCTAGGTACAAATACCGAATATTTTCTTTGAAATTCACTTAAAAACGCTACGAATTTTTGTTTCGACCCAATAATACAAAGTTTTTTATTCTGCATCTGAGAACTTCCGCTTTATTTGAACAAGAATGCAAACAGAAACAGAGGTCGAACAGAGACAATTTTTTTTCTCATTTCAAATTATTTGTATTGAAAAGGCTGTCTTGTTTCAAATCATTTGATTATTTCCAATAATGTTGTCTGAAGTAGATTAGCGCTGAAGTACCGAATGCTTAAAATGTTTTGTGCAATATCTAATTTTCTTCCCAGGAATGATTGTTGCATTATACGTACATTACAGAACCAAAGCCACATCAGCATGACGTGAACTTAATTGGTCAAAACATGTTGATGAATAAATTGGTCTATACAGATTATTGACTGCGTAATATTTTTTTTTATGATTAGGTCCCAAAGAACACCTGAATGCTCAAACAAGTTACATTGACAGCTCTCAGGTCTACGGAGCCAGCTTGCAAGAATCAAACAGTTTACGGACAATGACTGGAGGTTTGTATAAATTCCGCATTATATATATATATATATATATATATATATATATATATATATATATATATATATATATATATATGTGTGTGTGTGTGTGTGTGTGTGTGTGTGTGTGTGTGTGTGTGTGTGTGTGTGTATTTGAGAATTCTGGAAGCCGGAAATGCTTATCTCTCGTATATAACTATTTCTTGACAAGTCTTTATTCTGTTTCTTTCTTTATTTTTTCCCTACGTTTTTTTTAAACGATTTAAACTTAAATACATATCTCAAATATATTCTATTTTCAGGACTTTTAAAAATTACACCGACAGAAGACTTGGATATCCTGCTGCACGACAACATGACGTTTTGTAAAACACCAACAAATTATTGCTTCATCGCTGGTAAGTTTGTTTTTCTCTGTTATTTGTAATAATAATAATAATAATAATAATAATAATAATAATAATAATAAGAAGAAGAAGAAGAAGAAGAAGAAGAAGACATTTTTTCAGCGTAAATGCTCAGGATATTTATACGTTCAACAGCATAATCTGAATGTCCGTTTGATATCAAGTTCGCTCCAGACTTCAAGTGAAACTTCTCTATACAACCATTGATAAAGATTCTGGAAAAATGGTCAGTTCATTCTATCAGAAGTACCTGAATCTTTCTGCAATATTTTATCTTTACAAAAGTCATATTAGACCAAAAACGGAGTATCATTGCTATATATGGGCAATGAGCTTTTGAATCCTCGCTTACCAGACTTGATAAAGTCGAAAATCGTTTATGTCGTCTTATGAAGGGAAAACTAATTCTTTCTGCGGCCTCGTTCGCAAAGATTTAATGTTGTAGGCCTGTCGCTACACTATCGCTATTTCTATGGCAAATGTTCAGATGAACGCTCCATTCTTTGGTTCTACCAGTTCGGACATTTATAGTTAGGACTCTCCCTTCTGCTTCCATGGGGTCGAATCACTCTATTTTCCCCCGTATCCCAAATGTAAGAAGAAAGTTTCGATTAGTTTTTTTTTTCCAAGAACTTCCACTTTGTCGAATAAATTCCCGTGTGGCTGCTTTCCGGGACACTACAATTTTGCCCTCTTCAAACCAATGTTCAATTGTTACCTGTCCTCTTTATCCAAATAATCGAAACTTCATACCACACACATCATTCGCTATTACCATTGTAACAGTATCTCTCTATCTTGAATGACTCTTGAGCCATGTATTGGATGAATTTTAGTATAAAATAACGTTAGTATGTGAAGTACTGTGTATCTGTGAAATTACTAGAATCATGTCTTGGAGAAGGCATTTTTTAGAGAATCTTTTAAAATATTAGCAGGAATTGGTGGTGTCTTTGACTTCCGTTTTTTTTCCAACTCATATGTTGTTAATAACCGAGCCAGAAGCGTTAAGATTACGGCTATATCACGTTGATACCGGTTCTCGTACGATCACCGAAGTTAAGCAACGTCGAGCCTGGACAGTACTTAAATGGGTGAACACTTGAGAAGTGCTGTAAGCTTGGATGTACAGGTGGTTCAATGGATAAAGGCACGGAATTGAAAATGGGAGAGCCGTGTTCCAATTCCAGTCGGGTTTGTTATATTCACTTACACGCAAATACCCTCGAGAAAGGTATGAATTCACCACTACCTCCACTTATGGGTTGATTAGTGGGACGTATATTGATTATTATCTCCAATATATTCTTACTATCTAAAAGTATTTTCTGGTTGTGAATGACCTACAGAGGGTTGATGATATGTAAAAGGGAATATTAATGAATCAAAACAGAGCGTTGAGACAAATATCTAAAATGTAAAGAGAATGAGGCTATGGAACTTAAAGATTTGCGTGTTGGGTGTATCTTAAGTGTGTGCGTGTTCACATGTAAAAATTTAATGAAGAAACATACACAGAACCGTGGATTTCTATCAGGATCCGCTTATTATATAAACGGTAGAGTAAGTAAGGATAAGTATCATTATAATAGTCGAGTTTAAGTCAGCTTTGTGCTGAGTTGGAACGACTAAGGTAAAACTTATTTTAATTCATCGATGGATTTTCGGTAAAACACGCGTGAACGGTATGCGTTGGAAAATAGAAAAGAGTTTATTTTTCTGGTCCAGAAGTTCGGGCATTCTTGAATAAGTATTGTTATAATGGTCGAACTCAGACCAACTTTGCGCCGAGATGAAACGACTAAACAAAAAGGTTGATTTACTTTCATAGGTGAAAGCTCTTAGAAGACATGTGTGAACACCATACGTTGGAAAGTGATAAAGAGAGTTCAGTCGTCACTAGACCGCTGAAAAGAACGTGCTCCAGTCGCGCCGTGATTTTTTTTAGCAAAAGGAAGAGGAAGGGTATTTTTGTATTTTTATAGCCTTAATCAGCGCCGCCTAATAGACATTTGACGAAACCAAGTGGAGTAATAAAATTACCGTTTCCTTCATTACTAGCATCGTTGGAATATGTGTTTCTTTTCTCCACAGGCGATGAAATCTTAGTCGAAGATGTTTTTTATTAAATACTAAGTATTTAAATTTGATTTTAAATGTCTTATTTTATATGAGAACTTGATATTAAGTATTTCCAATCAGGCATGAGCAGTTGAACAATTTTAAGTTTCATTTGTATTTTTCTTTATATAAGAGAACGGTAATGAGCATGACAAACATGGAAGTTTTGTATAGTATAATCATTTTTTTTTATTTATTAAAGATGATCATTATACTGATCTTAACTGTCTTTTCTATGCCAGGTGATACTCAGCATCACCAACGAGGCGCTAGCGACGAAAACTCTAACTTTTAACTAAAAAGTGACTATTTAACCCTGATTTTAGAATTAATTTTCTTTCATATAGAGAGTAATAATGAGTATGACGAACCAGGTACTTACAATATAGAGAGTGTTGATTTATTTTGTCTTATTTGAAATCTGCTTTAATACTTTCATATCAAATCGTGATAACGAGCATCACCCACTAAGCATTAAATATTTCCTTTATTTATATTAGGTGACTTCCGTGTGAACCAGAACTACATGCTCATAACGCTCCACACTCTGTTTGTTCGCGAGCACAATCGTATTGCTGAACTCCTAGCTCTAGCCGATCCTTCCCTGGACGACGAGACCCTCTTCCAAAAGGCCCGCCAAATCCTAATTGCTCAAACGCAGCACATTGTCTACAACGAATACCTGCCTCACGTTCTCGGCGAATCTCGAATGAGGATGGTAGGTTTGAATCCATTGGTCGAAGGTTACACACAATATGAACCTCGAACGCAGGCCAGCATTACTAACGCACACATAGGTGCAGCGTTCCGTTTCGGCCATTCAATGATTCGCCGGACTTTCTCAAACGGTAGAGGAGATCAGATTCTTTTGAGCCCATCTTTCGGACTGACAGACCCGTTTTACCAACCTGGCGACGCTGCGAGCGGTTTTACTACTGGTTTACTCATCGACCTTTCACAGGAAGTAGATAGGTTTGTTTTGAAAACTTTCGTTGTTAATTAAGACATTTACCTGTGCAAACCACCATTCATTCCGACAATTAATATTATAATAAATTAATATTATAATAAATTATAATAAATTAATATTATAATAAATTATAATAAATTAATATTATAATAAATTCCAAATGAAGATAAACTAGGTCGGGTATATTTGAATTTCACTATCGATGCCCACATTTTGGCAAGTAATGCATTTCTTTTTATGGGGGAACTTTTGAAGAGTGTGTAGCAAAGCAACACGTGATCTTGCGAAATGTCAGGACATATTTAACTGAATTTCTGGTATGAAGAGTTATCATTATTTATCTTATTTGCAGTCGGACTAATGTCCTCATCTTTGTCGTTATTATCATATCATTTTAACTGCTGTATCATCTGACCATCATTAAGGCATGGAGGCATGTAATGGATTGAGGCTCGGATTGAAGAATCAGAGAACTGAGTTCGAATTACAGTCGAGTTCACTGCATTCACTTACGTGCTAATGCCCTTAGGAAAACTATGAATCCAATTCTTCTCCCTACCCCCAGCTAAGGGTAAATAGCAGGACAGACTGAGTTCTATAGCCTTGCGTGGCAACCAGTATGGGAGAAGGAAAACTCTGAATTTGAAACTGTACGTAGCCCTGGCGAAGTACCTATTACTACAGTAATGGAAAGGATCGTTCGCATTGAATCGATGATCCCGACGAGGGTCGACTCCTTAACACACTGCGTTCTATAGCCTTGGTTGGTAACTGGTCTAGGTGAAGAAAAATTCTAAATTCAAGACTGTATGTAGCCCTGGCGAAGCACATACTATGCAGCTAAAGAAAGGATCATTCGCATTGACTCGATGATCCCGACGAGGGTCGACTCCTTAAAACACTGGGTTCTATAGCCTTGGTTGGTAACTGGTCTAGGTGAAGAAAAACTCTGAATTCAAGACTGTATGTAGCCCTGGCGAAGCACATACTATGCAGCTAAGGAAAGGATCGTTCGCATTGACTCGATGATCCCGACTACGGTCGACTGATTAATTCACTTAAGTTAACTAATACTTGGTTCTTTCATGAAATCACCAATGGCTTCCTATTCATGTACTTGGATTGGGTTTTAAAAATTTTTATATAAAATAAACGGTATTTATATTGTATATTTAAAATAAACGCAGATAATGTTTTACTTTATATTTCATATATAGAATAAAAAAATTGATCCCTGTTTATTTTAAGTTTAAAATATGACTCTCTCTTATTTTATATACAATTTCTTTTTCCAGTCCAGTCATCCCCGTATAATATATGGTTCAGTCCATATATTAAAATTTAAATTACGTAACAGTCAGACTCTACTTAGCACCTGCAGGCTGGATTGTGCATGAAACGCCAAGTCATGCTACAAGTGAAGAAAAATGTATACGTATTAATATATACTTAATAGCGCTGTTATATTATATAGTACACTATTTTATTAACACCAGCACTCAATGTACGATATCATATATATATATATATATATATATATATATATATATATATATATATATATATATATATATATATATTGAGTCGGTGGATAATTATCAGGCGTCTTTGTAGGCGAGTTATTTGCTAATAAAATTGCTGTTTGTTTAATTTTTTTAATTAAAAAAAAATTATTTTCAGGTTATAAAAATGCGTGTCGATATTCATAAGCTCCGGAATAATTATTTAAAAACGTTATTGTTGAATTGATCTGTTTCTTTTCTCATAATTATTAATCTTTAAAAAACACCTGATAATTATGCACCAACCCTCCCCCTCTCTCTCTATATATATAAACTTACTTTAATTTATTACAAAGCACCTGTGAGAACTGAACTCATTACCTTAGCAAATTGATTTGTGAGACAAGTTTTCTAACCACCGCTCCATGTTACGTGTTGTTCTTACAAGAATCCGTTCAACTTCTGATGAAAGCAAAGATTTCACATGAAGATTTGGGATGCAGACACCCATGCCACTGATACTATACAATATTCCGGTAGATAATTTCAATTTATCTACAATTTGGCCATTTTTACTAACGCTTTCAGTTTTGTTTCTTTTTTTATTTTCAATTTCTAACTTGATTTCACTGACTTCAGCTAGAGCAATGTAATTTTTAATTCAATCTTTTCAGGTTACTCACCGATCAAGTTACTGATAAACTTTTTGAATCCAGTCCTGGGCAAGGAAATGATTTGGCTTCTCTGAATATCCAGAGGGGACGTGACATCGGTCTGAGTGCTTACACTAAATGGCGCCAATGGTGCGGTTTAGACGTGCCAGGCGATTTTAGTGATCTCACTGATCACACAGAAGAGAATCGGATACGATTGAGGATGATATATCAGTAAGTAAATGACAATTGCAAATCGTGTGCGTTTTTCCTTTCTAAAACGGTAACATTTTGTTCTCGAATAGTGTTTTTTTTTTAATGCAAAAAAAATAAATGTTTTAAATTAAATCACCGTATTTAACGGTATGTCAGGTACACTTCATGTAAGCCTCCGTCTGTCATAGTTTACCATGGGTAGCATCCTAGCTGACCTACGAAAAAAAAGAAAAATGCTTAAAAAATCACCCTGCGTCTTATATGTGAAGTCCAGGCTTCCTATAGGCTAATTGTAGCCTTAACTATAAATTTACCTCAGGCCGGTACTTCTATCTAGATTGACTCTAATATTATTTAGTTAAAAGGCATTATTATTATTATTATTATTATTATTATTATTATTTTATTTGATTTCTGGTGTGTACACATTTCTTTCCGGGTTCTGCTCAGAGACCTAAGGTTAGAAATGGCATCATGACATTTTCCACAAACCAATTAAAAAAAAGAAAACAGACATTATTTTATATAGATGAAGCCCTTCGTAATGTGTGGGCTGAACTCGTGAGAACAATATTTTTTTTGTATTTCTTTAAGGCATGGTCTTCCAGGAATCCCTTCAATGAGTCTAATGGAATCTTTTCCAAAAAATCCGA